GATTATACTCTTTAGAGTGGGCCATAACATTAATGGTCAACGAAGATTAATTTTGATTCAATTTAAGATTTGTTGTGTCTGGATGCAGGGGGTAATGCTTTTAATTCCATGATTTTTGATCTAGCATCACTATAAGCTCCTGCTGCTTCCTGAATCAATTCTACTCACTTACTTTGCCTTTGAAAACATTTTTCCTGCACCTTGGCTATTTTTGGACATTTGTATGCAGACATATTTGCCCTTTGTTGTGTTATGCTCAGTTTGTTTATTGATTGCCACATTTCATTTTGGTTCTAGCTCTACCAGAATCTATTCTCATGCAGTTAAAAATCTAAAAAGTGTAATCACTAGATGGGAACTGTTGCAATAGGACTTTCGCTGCAGACAATATTGATATTGTCATAGAAGTGTTTACTGAAACAGCAAAAAATTCATTATCAGCCAGCTGAAGTGACACAAGCAACATTACTGAAGGCCTTTTCTATTTGTGTATTTTTATTGTGTTGGCTATGCATTCCAAGGCAGCGATTCCTTTACAGTCTGAATTAGATTATTTAGAAAATAGCCATGTGTGATGTATGGTTTTGCTGTCACACAGGTCTGCTTTTCTGTATGTGAGCATATGTTTAGGTATGTCATTCAGGAAAGGAATATTTATTTCATTTTGTATGTTTCTCTGTTGTGATGGCCCTCAATTTCTGAATAACTTCCCTAGATGTGATAAATTCTCTAATTTACTAACCTAGGTAATTCTCAAGATAATACAGCCTTCTGACCACAACTTAATTTCTAAGATTTACAGTAGCTGAATTCAATTTCTTCAACTACTGGTAATTTGCAACTTGTTTTTARTTAGAAAAATACATGTAATTAGGTTCTGTATTCATTATGAGAAAAGAATGGAAATGAATGATAAAGTTTCTATACACAGTCACATAATTACTTTTGCAATACAGCATTGAGTAGGCAATCTTGTCTGGGAGATAAAATTCAGACACTCTGCATGCTTTTTCCTAAGCTTGTTGATGAATTCAGACTGAGCTGCCTATAAAATTACATGCCTCCCTGAGGTATGCTGAGACTACGAGCTGAGTTCTAACACTGTTTTTAAGATTAATACTTTAATATCCATGTAGTAATAAATCTGTAATTTGTAACCAAACCCCTTGATAGTCCATCTCCAGTAATACATTGTTAGACCATCTTTTCTGCTCTCATCTGTATTTTTGAGTCATATATAAACCCTACAGAAAGAGAGTTGCCATGGTTTAATGCAAGCTGGCAACTGAGCCTCACCAGCCTCTTGCTGCCCCACCAGCAGGATTGGGAGGGAATCAGAAGGGCAAAGTGAAAAACCTCATGGGCTGAGATAATCACACTTTAACAGGTAAAGCAACACAARCCCCACATAAAGCCCCACACACAAACAAAGCAAAACAAGGAATTCATTTATGCTTCCCAKGACATGCAGGCTGGCCATCTCCAGCCATCACACATAATGGTGACTTGGGAGAACAAACACCATCACTCCAAATGGCCTYCATTCCTCCTTTTTCCCCCACTTTATGTGSTAAGCATGATGCCATATGATRTGGAATACYCCTTGGGTCAGCTGGGGTCAGCTGTCCAGCTGTGTCCCCTCCCAGCTYCTTGGCATCCCCAGTCCCCTCACTGCTGGGGTGAGGATCAGAAAAGGCCTTGACCCTGTRYAAGTGCTGCTCAGTGRTARCARAACATCTCCATATTATCAACACTGCATTCGGCAGAAACCAAAACACAGCCCCATGCTATGAGAAAGCTACTGTGAAGCAAAATAACTCTTACCTTAGCCAAAACCAGCCCAGTAGTTTAAATTGGTTGCCTATTAGTTTCTTTATTGTCCTTAACTTGTAGTCTCGTTCTGTGAGTGTCCTTTGCAAAATTCAGACATTCAGCTGTCAGTGGACAAAAAAGTTTTCAGCCACTACAAGCCTGATGGACCATTAGAATGTATTGACTTGGAAAAGACATTAGCTTTAGTATGTAAGCTCATGAAAAGTAGAACTCTCACAGTGCAGGAYATAGTGTGTTTTAATAAAGATATTATAGTGTTCAGACTTGTGTGTGTAAACGCAGGAAGTACCTGGTGCAGTCTACACAGTCCAGTGAAAGATTTTTTTAAAGGTGTGAAGGRCCTCCTAGGTGGACTCCAGCTATGTAAGATTTCAGTTAAAGTAAAACCAAATAAAATTAGAAAATCCAGAAATTAAGGAGGAACTCATAGACTTCTGTCTGGAATAGTCTGTTCTTTACACAGCGTAAACTAATGAGTATCTGTCCTCTGTATTAGAGCTAGAAGATTAAACACATGCAGTCATATATTAACAGTTCGGAAAGTCACAAATAAACAAATAAAAGCATATGAGCACCAGTTAAATAAGTTMCTGGGGTTTGTACCATGAACTAATTCTTCTCTCCTAATTTTATCTTAATACTGGATTATTTAGAAATGATCTTCAAAGAAGTATGAACCTTTTTGCACTGCTTTCTTTATAATGAATAAAAAGAAAATAAAGTTTTAGTCTTTTAAATACACATCTGAAATAAGGCTGTTATCTGTAATATAAAACTTGAAGGCCATCTAGAAAACAAATCCAATTAYGGCTTAAGCACTTGAGAAAGTGAAATCTGATTTAATTACTTCTTTCAAAAGAAAATTACATCTTTCAACTTTCTATTATTAAAACTCTACATTTATTTTTATCACTCTAAAAAAAGAACAAGCTTGGAAGAGAAGCTCCCTTCATAGAGTTCACATTCAAATCTTTGTTACTTAATATTCAAGCTAAAAATTTGAGTCCTTAAACAACATTTGATTGTCTAGAAAACAAGCCACAAAAAATGCTTTGAGATAGATGGTATTTGTATTTTCAGATATGGGATTAGAAAAAATTGATTTAGGCATTAGAAAGACCAAAATGAGCATGATTTTTATTATCATCATTACTGCTGAACATGTATAAAAATAACAGCAGGCTTTTCTTAATGGATGAAAATATGCTATTATGACATAAAAAAGTTGGAAGTGACAAAGTCACATTTCCATTTCATTTAAGAGTTCTGGAACTCTTTTAGAAGAGAATGTATCTTTACATGGAGCTTTGCATTTTCAGGACAACTAAACACAGAACCCTTGCTCTTGGTGCTGCTCAGATGAGATCTGACCAATGCTCAGAGAAAGSACAGATAAGGGATGGGACATAAGGTTTTACTCTGTGCAAATAAGATTCAGATATTTGCTCAAATCCCACTCGCCTCCTTGGAACCGGCAGTGCTTCATGTGAATATATTTGGCTTTGTTCCTGAATATAAAATCGAGTTTGATAACCAGTTATCCTATGGGTGCATTTCTCAGGAAATTAAACTGGAATCTTAAAAACTTCATAGATCTATATTAAAACCTGAGAGYGGCAGATAGTCATTTTAGAGAAAAAAAGCTTGAAAATACTTTCAGATTTAGTTGTATATCAGCCTAATGCAATAAGCAGTGACAGTTGATTTCTTGTTGGGCAGAATTGTRAGAGAGGTCAGGGAAGGGTGTGAGGAAATAAATTGTCTAAACTTAAGCTAAATTGAGATAACTTTTAAAAAATTTTGATGTAAAACCCACCCAAAAATTTCTGTAGATAAACAAAAGGAAAAGATGTTCYACTCTCACCTTAAAAACCTGTTAAATATATACTGCTCATCCAAAATCCCACTGTTTTTGATGGAAGTATGAAATACTCTGAAGATATTTGCATAGACTAATAGCCTAGTAAAGTGCTATTTTTTTAGTATTTAAATAATTAGAAATRTTATTTAAAATCTATTATATCCCCATYAGACACYRGCTTTTTTTGRCCAAYGATTTTTAAGGTATCTTAGTTTTAMCATGAAYCATGGRTGGCTGGAAGGACTGAGCAAAGGGAAAATTATTATTTTAAAAATGTTAAAATTACTTCTGTAAGCAACGGAAGTAAACTGAACCAGGGGAAAGGAAGAGAGAGAGAGAATATTTGTGTGAAATAACTTCTTGTGAGGTATTCAGCAGAGGGTTTTGTCTCCACAACACACATTTCTATTGACATGTGTCATGTAGATAAGCTTTGAGAAGTGACACCTCAGTATATTCTTGGATTACTTTAAATATTATTGCTTAATAGTAACTTTTTCAGTTAATCTTTTTTGTCTTTGTCAGTTTGCCTCTTGAAGATTTTTCTAAATTAAATCTATTTTGTGTGAAGTAAAAATRTAKTTTTTACTGGGCATTGCTGCTGCTYGCTACTTGAATCAGAAAATATGGCACAGACAACACCAGAAACTCTTCTGCTTTTGAGGGAAGTGTTTCATCAGGACAGGCTGCTAGAGAAGAGTGCTAGATACTTAGAAATATGAATTCCATTTCTGACTTGGTGAACACAAGTACTCAGGATAAAAAGTGAGTTTCTAACCACATACTTTGAATTTTAATCAATAATGCTGAAGGCTTTTCCTGCTTGAAATATTTCTGTGTTTATAATGTAGGTAATTATCACATTAGAAGAATAGTTAATTATTTCTTTTCAAAGCATTAGCAATTCATATATATTCCAAGAGTATTGGCTTTTTTTTTTTGTTGATGATTGGAACTATGTGCAAAAATTGTAGATGGAATAACATTAGCAAAAGCATGTCAACTCCCTTAGTAGTCCAGTGGAGATAACAGGGTCACTCATGGTTTTTTGAAGTTATTCTCTGTATGACTCACCCATCTTTCAAAGCATAGGATGCTGTTTCAGCCAAATCATAAAGATAGTATCATGCTTTATTAATGTTTGAACCATAAAAGGCTTTTTAATATTTTGTTGAGATGCACGTAGTAAATCTAATATTATTAAAATTATAGATCCAAACAAGAGGTGTGCTACATGGGATAGTGGTTATGATTATTTTTACCAGTAAATTTGTAACTGTGTCCTTTGTCTGTGATCCATGTATAGGGAGTTGGTGTCTCAGTCCATGGACATTTTCGAGTTGCTACAGAAAAGACTCTTTTTGCAATGCCAGAAACAGCAATAGGTAAGTATTTAACAGATTATCACAWGTGAAAGTGTTTAGGGTTTCACTGTGTAATCAGGGTGAAATGTCTTTGACTGAAAGCTTTGATGGTAGTGAAAGAATTTTAAAAGGGAATTGGAGATGACCATATACAGAAGGTATTTTCTTTTAAATTATCAAAAAACTTACCTTTATTCTGGGAGTTGATCACCGAGGCTCTTAACTGTTTCGACTGACACAAAGGCTGTCAGGATACAGTATTTTAAGAATGGAAACAGATCCAAGGAASTAAGTCTTGCTACAGGTGGAGGCAGATAAAAGTCTGAAGCTCCCAGTACAGTTATATCAGCTTTACCTAGGGAACTCTGAGTCAAACTGGGTGTACTACAAACTGCAATTTGTAAAATTTGCAATTTGCAAACATTGCTCTGCAATGTTAATGAGGCAAAATTTTGAATTCCAGCTTTTCTTGTAGGTTATTAGTATAGACCCTTTACAATTGTGCACTGTGATCTAGGCAAGATCACAGTGTCTTCAAGTGTTGTCTTTTTTCTTTTAAGTAGCAAAATGTAACTTGTGTTTTCTAATGTTTCATCCTACAGTTTCTTTGTCAATTCTGAGAGGTACAAAAGAAAGTGTATCTCAGAGTTACATGAAGCTGCAGGTATGGCTCAAGAAAAGTCAGTCAAAGTGAACCTTTAATGTTGATGCAACTGTCAAGTGCAATAAAGCACAATAGACCACAYAAATATAAGCAAGCTCATTATAGTCTTAACTCCTTAAAAAAAATAAGAGAGCAATTCCTGCTAGCTGGTAAATGTAATGCCATTTTTCTGGATGAGTAAAGTTGCAGCCCTCCAAATATTTTCTTTTGCTGAAGGAAAACATAGTAAAGTAAATAACTTAAGCATTAATACACTGTGAATTTGCTAAACTCTGAAGTTTATAATCAGTTCTTGTACGTGAAAACCATTTGAAGGAAACAATTTGTATTTTTTTTAACTAAACAGAGATGTTCATTGAATACAAAATCATTCTAATAATAAAAGTACCTTCACTTTCTTCTTCAAAGTTAAAGGCATGAGTAGTTTGATATTAAMAAAAAAACTATGTACTTTACATAGATTTCTTGTGTTGACAAGGATTTATTTGAACAAAAATAGACTGTGAAGATGTGAAGGAAAAGCTTGGAACTTGCTTAGGAAAGAAAGTAATTAAATCCCTTTTAGGATCACTTAGAASTAAAACCACTGAAATCTGTTTGGATTTAAAGGCTTAGCTGTTTTGATCTCTGTGGTGTGTGTTTAAAATGTCGAGCTTTCTAGATACTGTRTTAATTGTTCTTTTCATATGCTCATTTATTTCAGTAGGCATGACACCTTTGCTGTGAAATGAAAACAAAGCATTCATTCAGCCGCTCCATTTTCACACAGTTGTTCTGCATTTATACAGCACCGTCAGTGAAAGGATATAGATAAATATGCCATTTTGTAAAGAGAAACAAAGGYAGTTCTAGACTGTAGAAATTTGACATAGATAAGATAAAGCACTGGAAAGCAGCACAGAAGTAGCAATGTGTGGAAAAAACACTGGTTGGGAGAGCAAAAGTTGAAGGTATAAGGTGTGAGCTTTGATGTGATGTTATACTAATAATGATTACTTTCTTGTATATCCCTCTGTAGTTTTTAGCTTTCTAGAAGTCATTAGTAATAAATTCCCAACYCTCTCTGCCAGACAAGGTAAAAATGTAGCATCACTGCCTTTCTTAGGCTTGGCAGATGCAGAGTTGCACCTTTGGGRTTACAGCAGAGTGTGTTTCATCTGTGTCAGAGCACAGACTGCAAGTCAGCATTAAAGGCATAGGCTTCTGGCCTGGGCAGCACAGCAGCAGACAGCTCATCTCTCATTTCAGTAGGAATTTGAGAAATAATTGCTAAAGACTAACAAAAAAACCCCAAAATCAAATATATGGAGTTCATTAAGAGAACCTCATATATGGGAAGCATTACTGAGAGTATTAAGAGCAATATGTAGAACATGKACAGAAGGAGTAAAATTATGAGAGAAAAAGGAAGACAGGAACATTGAAAAGGATATAGTAGAAGCTATAGCAGACTATGTTTATGCAACAAAGTAAGTTTAAAGTGGATTAGGTACACCTTCACTAATCCTGTTTGTAAATTCCTTAATTAAAGAAACCTTCATTCAATTTAAGTTTATTTGCCTCTAAAGCAACTTAAGCTAATCAGCTTCACAGTTTATTTAGAACTGATTTCCTTGTGTATGGCCAAGTGGAAGGGCACTATGGATCCCATTTCCTCTGGAAATGTACTGGAGCATGGGGAGAACAGTAGTCCAGCATCAGWATTATTTTGACTATAGAAAAAAAAATTGTTGCTGTTGTTGTTCTGATGGATGGAGAGAATAATGTAATTGCATTTTTGCTTTGGAGGGCATTTTTAAGACAAGTTTTACTTTGAAATGAGGTTGGGGTTGG